AAGAAATCAGAAGTTACAAGATACCTACTTTTTGGATTCTCATTTTGGCATTTTTTTTTAAAAAAAAAAACCAACTTTTTATAAAAACTAGCAATCAATTAGAAATAGACCTTTTAAATATATTTTAAGGACAATGTTGCTTCAGTTTTAATAGTTGGATCCTACTGTATGCAAATAATGCTGAGTATTTGACCTCAGAAATGTTGTGTGCAAAGAAGAATTATAGAACAAAATTTGAGTAGAAAATAAGCATGCATGAACATGACCTATATTCATGCCAGATTCAACCATATAATAGGTCCAAAACTCTAATCAAACATAGTTGCGCACGATATATATTGAATTAAGGCCAGATCTGAATAGAAGAAGCAACTCAATTCAAAATCTCCTATTTACAAACATTTCCACCTTATCATCCAATTCAATCATTCGCCAATAATAATTGAAAATGAACAGCATGACTTTTCTCTTTAAGTTTTCCAATTATTTCCACAAAGGCAACTCCAACCACCTTTTTTTTATCAAAAAACACTAACTACATCATAAAAAGGGTTATAGTGAATGATATAAATATTTTTTTCAAATAATCTTCAATCCGAACAAAACTAATATTATCATTTTCTACCTTCTAAATAGAGTCTTATTAAATCCTAAACAAGTAATTTCTTAGCAATAATAGTTTGAGCAAAATCAATGAATTGCAGATAAATTTTACTGTGCGCGCGCGCGTATAATTAGTCACTAATCCTTGAAATAACAATATAACACTGTGTATATATATGAGAAATATATGCGAAGGACATATATTTGGATCGATAACTTGGTTTGCATGAAAATCAAGAAAATAAAAGATCGAATATTGAACTGCGAAAGAACAAAATATAAAATAAAAGAGTATACAAAATTTTCTAATATAGTTACTTGTACGTCCATCTTTACTCAAAACCAATTTTCCAAGTCTTTCTTGCTTTTATATCTGTTTTCCAAGTATTGGAAGATATAGCAATAATTAAAGCTTGCTTGCACGGAATTGTTCAAGACCGGATCACGTCTGCATGCATCATCATATATGCAAGTGAATATTCCTTCAAAACCCGTCTAGATTCATAGTTGTCAAGTAAAGGTTGGGCTTGCGCGTTAATGGCCTTCATTTTTGTCTGCTGTTTTGGTGTGTGTGCAGAGAGATATATATTCACGTCCAAATCCGGGGATTTCGTCGAGTGGTATAATTTCTAGCCGGATGGTAGGATCTAGGGGTGTCAACAGATCGGTTCGGGTCGAAATTGAAAATTTTTGACTCAAACCCATTTTTATGTAGTAGACCCGGACCCGACCGATATACTTAACGAGTTTTGATCCTAGAGTTTCGAAATCGGGTCCAACGGGTCCCGGGTCAGATTCGGGTCTACCCAGAAAGAAAATGTCCAAATTTAAACAGTTCAAAATTAAGTCCAAAATCAATCACAAATTCAATCTTCAAACTTAAACAAATCAAATTAGAAAAACTGAATCACAAATAACTCGCAATAATTAATCCAAGTCTAACTACAAATCAATCTACAAAGTTATTGCTAAAGTATTAATTTAGTAAAAAAATATATTTAGAAATATTTATATTTTATAATTATTAATATATTGTTCAGGTCCGGGTCAGAATCTTATATTCCATATCTGACCCATTTTTTATTAGAGTAAACACGTCCGAATCTAGGTCTGGGTATCGGAATTATTTTTCAACCCAAATCCGGAAAAATTCATCAGATCGAGTCGATTCGAGTCCAAATCCGACCGGTTGACACCCCTAGTCGAATCTATGCATGCGTGTGTGTACACACATATATACATATATATATATATATTTATATATACATATACACACACATATATATATGCGTGTGTATGTATATACACGGAAGAAACACTCACATTCGGAAGAAAGGGCCTTCCACTTGATGCTGCTCACTTTCTTTTAAACTAAATCACTCACGCGCAATGAAGAAACAAACGAAAAAAGAAGAAATTTTCATTTATGACGTTAACTTGTTTTGGTTTTTTTTTGCCAGTTTTCCACCCATTTTTGGAGTGTTTTTATGCAAAATCTGCTTCTAAATCTCCCTCACAAAATTGATGCATAATATGTACCAATTGAAGGGAGTTTTTTGAAAAAGATAAAGTTAAATTGGATTTTTGAAAATTGTGGAATATACATTTAATTTAGATGTATATTGAGTGCACCAACCAACAGAATAAGGAATCCAATTAATTTTTTTTAAGGTTTATGCACTAATAATCATATTCATACTATTATGAAAAATATTATGCTTCCTTTAGAGAAATATTTTAAAAATAAAAAAATGTTAAAAATCAAGATCCAAAGACGTTTATTTCAACCAACATTGAATTTAAGCTTTGGGTATAATATTACTTGGACGATTCCAAGGCTTATCTTCTTTAATAAATGCAGAATTAATCTATTTACATCTTGGCCTACGCAATTTCAATGAACTTAACTCTTATCCCCTTAATAGATTGCATTTGCTATAGGCATTCTAAAATTGTTCACTAAATAAGCTATTTCGGTACCTTTCAAGATTAAAAGTTTAATACTTCTCGATTAAGTAAAGAGGAGAACCGAATAATTTCATAACAAATTTCCATGATTTAGTAAAGAAAATAAATTAAGTAAAATTGGAAAAAAATATATCCACTCTCACACAAAACTCAAAATAGAATTTCTCAACTTGTGCAGCATTATAGAAAGACCAATTTGCCCACAAGGGACCAAATTTAACTAGTTTCATTATGGATTAACTTTTTATGCATTAACAATATATTAATTTTTTCACAGAAGCAGTTATGAACGTATAACATATATGCATGATTTAAATTTTAAATTTGAACTTATATTATATAGCAACAGTCAAACCCAACTAATGTATAAAAATGTATCCATTGACAATGTATAAAAAACTTGAAAAATTTTTCAATCACATTTTTATCTCACATATATCAAATAGGTACGGTAATTTTTCTATACAAAGTTCAGAAAAATGCAAGCGAAACAAAACCTTATCGTTTTGTTATGCAAGTTGACCAACCTCCCTAATTATGACATTTTCATCCTTCGAGGGATCCAATTATGACTTTGGATTATGACATTCGGGTATGTTTGGAGTACAATTTTTCTTTGAAAAATTACAACATATTTTGTGGACATATTATCAATCATTTTTTTATTTCACATATATCCAATCCAATCGTTACACTACTTTTTCTATAAAAAGTTCAGAAAAATCCGATCTAAACAAATTATTGTTTGGCTGCGCAAGTTGACCGCGTAAATATGAGATTTTCATTCTTCGGGGGACCCAATTATGACTTTCAAATGCCACTTTTTCCCCACTTCCAATTCCAAAGTGCATATTGACCTTTCAGTGTTTTCCTACTATTCCCAATATATAATAGTCTATGAATACTACTATTCTTCAATCCAAAAAAAAGCCTGCAGAATCTAGAAGTTTTACTGTTAACTGCGACAATCCAATGTTTCCACGTATCAAATCTTCAGTCTATAAAATATTCATGGTCCAATGAATGAATAGTATATCCATTCTTCAAATTCCAAAATGGCCACACTCAAAATCACAAAGAAACATCACAAACACCTAAACAATCCCTTCAATTCTCCCCCACAGTCTGGCCCTTTTGTTGAAGGGAAACTGTTCTTTAATTCGCAGACACTTCCTTCACACCAGATCTTTGACATTGGTAAAGATTTTCAGGTGATTTGGTCATCAACGGATGGAGGCTCTCTTTCAATATCTCATAAGTCTCAGCCTGCAAGACACATATGGTCTAGTGTTCCAGGACAGGCTTTTGTGTCTGCAGCAGTTGCAGAAACTGAGGTGGAAGAGAGCAGAGGATCATTTCTTGTCAAAGATAATGAGGTTCATGTGGTATGTAATCATCAAACAATTGATTGTATTAGGGCAGTAGTGGACGATTCTGATGTCAGTGTTGATGTGACAGATCAAAATCTTCCATCGTTTTGTGATGGAAATGCCACAAAAATGGCAGAAAATGGTCGTCAGTCTCCTGCTTTGATGCTGACAGGAAAGATTATCGGTTCAAAGAAATGGAATAAGAAAGTTCAAGATCCTAAAACCAGTTCCACCGCAGGTAATTCGGAGGACTGTTCTATTTTTGCAAAATACTGCATTTTGTTTGATCAGAAGAACGGTAATCAAGTTGGATTTCAAGTGAGGCTGGGGAAACCAAATGTGGAACTTCACCAAAGAGTTTCTTCTAAAATCTACAAGGGCTTTGCCAGGAAGTTAACTGGAATTCGGAGACGCAGAATTGGATGGAGTAGATTCTGCTCGAAGAGGAGAGTGTGTCTAGCTGTTTCATCATCATCATCAGACGAGGAAAATGTAGTAATGAAAGCTGCAAGATTGACAGATTTCAACAGAATTTGGCTGACATATGAAAGCGAAAGAAGTGAGAGATTTTATGGTTTTGGAGAGCAGTTTTCTCATATGAATTTGAAAGGAAAAAGAGTGCCAATTTTCGTTCAAGAACAGGGAATTGGGAGAGGAGATCAACCAATCACATTTGCAGCCAACTTGGTTAGCTACAGGTAAGAGTTAAATGCAATTTCTTTTTAAATACCAAAAGGCTAGCTATGTCTGATTGAGATAATTTGAAATAAAAGCAGGGCAGGAGGTGATTGGAGTACAACTTATGCTCCTTCTCCATTTTATATGACATCAAAGATGAGGTCCCTTTACCTTGAAGGATACAATTATTCAGTCTTTGACCTAACAAAGCATGATAGAGTTCAAATACAGGTAATGTTTAAATACTTTGCAAAGTGATCATGTCATTTATCCAGTTCATATTCTTGAAAATCGACATACGCCTTGAAACACCAATTCAACTTAACCTTAATTCTAGAAAGTGATTTCACCTTGTCAAATCAAACTCAGTCTGAGGAGTTAGCATCAAATGCTCTGATGTGTTCCAATTTATGACCATTAAGTGGTCAACTTTCTGAATTTGTAGTATAGGTTGTACAAAAGCACATAATAGCAGCATAGATTTCGATAGATAGTGCAATATCAGAATCTGTTCAACAGTTGCAGGCTGCCATGATACTCTCAGTGCATCTCGGGCCAATTAAATATTCACATCCCAATTTTAGAAGAGTTAACAGCCTAAACTTTTTGGTAATTCTTAGATCAATGGAGACTCTGTTCAAGGTAGGATATTGCATGGAAATTCACCAACTGAGCTGATCGAAAACTTCACAGAAACTATTGGAAGACCTCCAGAACTTCCTGAGTGGATAATATCTGGTGCTGTTGTGGGAATGCAAGGTGGAACAGATGCTGTGCGCAATGTTTGGAATCAGCTACAGACCTACAATGTACCGATATCTGCATTCTGGCTACAGGTAAAGAATCACCTGAAACAACAATTATTATGATGATGACTTCGTAATGTCTTCTACAGCTTATGATCAGATTTCGAGTTGGGAATCTTCATAGCTTGCAGTCTGCAGGCTGGACAGAGTAATATGGAAATTGACACACGGAAATGCTGTATTAGTACTCTTACATGTTATCCTCCTGCAGGATTGGGTAGGGCAGAGGGAGACAGTGATAGGCTCACAGCTATGGTGGAACTGGGAGGTAGATTCTGCAAGGTATATGGGATGGCAGAAACTAATCAAAGATCTTAGGACTCAACACATCAACGTGATGACGTACTGCAATCCTTGTCTAGCTCCGGTAACTAAATATCCTTTCATTATTATACTACTCTTTACAGATTCTGGTAAATGGTACAATATTATGTGATTTTGTACCAGTCCTCCAGTTGGATTGAGATTCTATTATGGCATTTTAAAACTGAACTCTTTTCACTGATGCAGATGGATAACAAACCTAATGTCAGGAGAAATCTCTATGAGGAGGCAAAGAAGTTGGACATACTAATAAAAGACAATCATGGAGAACCTTATATGGTTCCAAATACAGCTTTTGATGTGGGAATGTTGGATTTGACACATCCATCAACAGCAAGCTGGTTAAAGCAGATTTTGCGAGGCATGGTGGATGATGGAGTCAGGGGGTGGATGGCAGATTTTGGTGAAGGCCTTCCGGTAGATGCTCACCTATATTCAGGTTGAACACAAAATTCTCATTACAAGAGATGTTAGGGCCACTTGATAGTTTAATTAAATTCAGATATAGTGTAAGAAACAAAGAGATATCATGCCATCTGGACTGAAAACACTAAGATCATAATGGCTCTCTTTTCCTTGACATCCTTTGACTTGAAAGACTGATGAAAGTAGAGTAATAATGCACATAGGAAAACAGGCATATGTCTACAAGAATAATCTTCAGAAGAACAAGATATACCAAGACAGCAAAAAGTGGTCAAACTTTTATTTGAGAATTTGCTAAGGCATAACAAAATCTGCTGGTCAATGTGTTAAGTAGTCAGAAAATAATATATATAAAATACTGGAGAGTTATTTGTCAGAAAGGAAAATTGGCCTGTGTGATTCTTATCAACCAAATAATGGTAGGCGAAACTCAGCACAAGGTACTTTATCAAGCAACTTTTTATTCATGTAAATGAATAATAGCTTGCTAATTTGATGATGGTGATTCACTTTTTCTCCAGGTGAAGATCCAGTGGCTGCCCATAACAGGTATCCAGAGCTTTGGGCCAAACTCAACAGGGAGTTTGTGGACGAATGGCAAAATTCTCATAGTCATGGTACAAAGGAACAAAAAGGCCAAGATGATGGGTTGATTTTCTTTATGAGGGCTGGGTTCAGGGACAGCCCTAGATGGGCAATGCTGTTCTGGGAAGGGGATCAAATGGTAAGCTGGCAAACAAACGATGGCATAAAAAGCTCAGTGGTTGGCTTGCTGAGTGGTGGAATTTCTGGCTATGCCTTGAACCATAGTGACATCGGAGGCTACTGTTCAGTAAATTTACCATTTTTCAAATACCGAAGAAGTGAAGAACTGCTCTTGCGGTGGATGGAGCTAAATGCATTCACCACTGTGTTCCGAACACACGAAGTAAGTAAAACACTTCCACCTAAAGCTACCAAAATACACATTAGTACTTTGTTTGACTATTGCATCTTCTAACAAAATAATTTTGGTTGTTCGCATATATGCAATCAGGGAAACAAGCCATCCTGCAACAGCCAGTTCTACACAAACCACAAAACATTGTCACATTTCGCATGCTTAGCAAAAGTATATCAAGCCTGGAAGTTTTACAGGGTTCAACTAATAAAGGTGATTCTCAGATATTTTAAACTTGCCTTAAAATTTCATTTAGCCAAAACACCCAAATGTTAATCTTTTCTTCTGTATATACAGGAAGCCTCCCTAAAAGGTCTACCTGTATGTCGCCATCTATTCCTCCACTATCCAGATGATGAACGTGTTCTCAGCTTCACCTATGAGCAATTTCTAGTTGGTACCGAGATCCTAGTTGTGCCTGTTCTTGACAAGGGGAAGGAAACTGTGAAGGCCTATTTCCCAGCAGGAGAAAGCTGCTTGTGGAAGCACATTTGGACAGGAAACCTATATTCACAGGGTACTGAAGCTTGGATAGAAGCTCCAATAGGGAATCCTGCTGTTTTTGTCAAAGATGGTTCCCTTGTTGGAGAGACCTTCCTGAAAAACCTTCAGGAATATAGTTTACTATAAAGACTAACCATTAGGCCCAGAAACGGAAGATGTTCAAATAACCAATTGCCTCCTCAACAAGGAAACTTGTAGCATAATATCTCTCCATTTCAACTTTCACTACCTTAGGTAGTTGATTCTTCATGTAGATTACATGTATATTTGCAATTCAATGTAATTAAAGCATTTTGAGTTTAAATATGAATGTCAAATTTCAATACCATGAACAGTTACAAGTCATCGAACTCTCCTTCCAATGAAACAATATCTCCTTGGCTAGTGTCACTGTTTTGAGCTGTCTCTTTTCTTCTTCTTCTTCTTTTTTATTTGCATTTTTCTTATGGGTGAGGGATGGTGTGAGAAATTCTAACTTAATGCATCCTCAATCATCAGTTTCCCTTGTATCAATAACACGTACTTCTGTTATTTTGACAAGAAAAATTTTAGCAGGAGAGGAAGGTCACCTCATTTTAAGGCCAAGGCATGCTAGAGGTGCACCAAGGCGGCTAACAGTGGCTCTTATAGATCAACAACTAAACTGCTTTAGCTGGCAGCGGGACTCGAAATACGAGCGCTCGCAACGCAAGAATCAAGTGAATGTACTTCAGTAGAATCTGCGAATTTTAATGCATGACACTGATAGAGGAAGACTATTCATTGAGGTTTCCCAAGGTAAGAATCACGGGATAGGACACAAGTCAAAAGTATTTAACAAGCTAAACAGCAGGCACTTACTGATTTCGGACAGAAAATCCATGTAATAAGGAAGTAGAACTCCTTACGATTCTCTAAATTCTGCAGAATTTACAAATAATGGTGAATTTGCAGAAGCATCCCAAGAGGAACATTAGCAGGAGAATATTTATCACTTAATATAGGAGAAGAGCAACCACAAATAAAGGAAGCAATACATATTAATCAGAGGTTTAAAAAATATACAATTCAAATTGCACATCAAATTAATCATGAAATTTGCAGTTATGGGTACAAATGAAAATGTACTGACCTTCAAGAAGGCTTGATGAAGAAGTGCCATTTCTGCAGCTTTGAGGAGGATCATCATTTTTGGAGTAGGAATGTTGCATTACTTGGTGCAATTCTACTTTTCTTTTGTTTGATGTGTTTGCTTTTGATCATCTGGCGGTCAAGGATTTTCCTTATAAGACTTCAGTTGAGACTGTTAAGTCTCAAACCAACTGATTCGAATACATGGATTGGATATTCTCTCTGTCAAGAGCAATTTTGACAGGTGACCAGACGTGTTTTATTTTTTATTTGTTGGGGCCTATTCTGGTGCAGGTCTTTTAGTTCAAGGTGCTACGTATTGTAGATGAATATATATATGTTCATTATTCACGCCTTGCATAGAAAAAAAAGATTTACATTACGATGTTTTTATTAGTTTGCCATTTAGCACATTCTTTCTAATAATTCTTCTGCAATTCTTTTAGGCCCTTAGTTTGCCAAAATGAAAATTACAACTCAAACCATCCACATTTAGACTATCTTTTGCTTATGAAATCACAATTTTTATTAGAATCCATAACTAGTATGATCAGTTATTTTGAACAAGATTTTGTTATCGAGAAAATTACAGTTTTGGTATCAAATGTTTGAGGTATCGGTAGTTTTAGTCCTTAAAAGTTTGGACGAAAGCAAATCTAGTTCTAAACGTTTCAATTTCTAAGCATATATTTACTAGTCATGTAGCTAAATAGTAAAGACTAATTGCTGATCTTGACTATTGTGCATGCAAGTAATTAGTGCCCTTTAATTACAAATTATGGCCATCAACATTTTTTTCTAATTTTTGAAAATTTAGCTGTGGACACTTACTACTGACGTAACTGAATTCCAGTAATATATTGTGAAAACTAATTAATTGGACTAAATGTGATTAGAAATTAAAATATTTAGATCTAGATTTGCTTTTGTCCATACTTTAAAGACTAAAACCCCCATGCCCCAAACATTTGATACCAAAGTTGTAATTGTTTCTTTTATAATGTATACACATGTCACTTATATATGTAAAAGTAAATTTTAAATCATTATTCATTTTGTAAATTTATCGCTCACCTGTTCTCTTTCAATATCATACGTGCACCAATAAAACGAGTTGTAGAAAAATATATGAAAATGTTAAAGGTTATGACTAAACATAAAGATGTGCGACAAATATGTGTACTTGAATTTGGATTCAATTGAGTTGTTAGATGACCGACACCCATCGACTGATAACATTAGTGCAATTGGATCACTCAATTAGACCCTGTTTTCAATGGCTACCCGAATCCAATGTAATAATTGGATTTGGGTATTGCACATGGATTTGAGCATATTTGAAAACTTGGATTGATCGAGGAAAGGTTTAGATAAATGATTCCTCTTCGTTTAAACTATTAGTTTCTGCAGAAAAATTTTATACATTTTTCATTAACACATTTTCTTCATTTTTTTTCACCTCACTTATATCAAATCATTACAGTGCATTTTTCTATAAAAACTCCTAAAAATAACAAATCCAGATAGGAGGCAAATATCCATAACCTTGTAGATTCATAGAATTTGGTGTTTTATTAGTTAACATTTGGCAGCACTTATGTACCTTTCCCAAACAAGGATTTGCATTAAGCCATTATTGACATTTGACACCCATCTAAATAGGTTTAGAGCCACTCCACTTGATGGAATTGTATTGGATAGAAACAATGCTAAAGAACATTATTGTATCCTCAATAAACTCATTCAGGGTACCAAAGTAGTTGGGCCTCACATATGATAAGTTAACTTCAACATAAATTATGATCCCACAATTTCAAATCAATAAATAAATTTCAGAGAAAAACCCTACAAAAGCCAAGGAGAAAAGCACCTATTTCTTGAATATTATCCAAAGTCTAATGGGTAGGAAAATTAACATCATCTTTTCTAACAAATCAAGTATCAATTCTTTGGAGTAGGACATAGCTTGGTTACAGGGGGTAAAGACTAGATAAATTTCAGAGACAGAAAATAATTAGACACTAGGAAGCATTAGTGGGTGAGGAGTATCAGTCTTGATTCATCTATTTTTCTCTGCAAAAGCAGCACTTCAGCATAGACTCCTTGCTGGATCGGACAAGTAACAATTGCCAACCTAAAACAACTCACCATGCAAAACGAAAATGTCACCTGACAAGCTTTGCCGGAAGGGCCTGCAGACTTCTGCAGAAAAAGTTCTCCCAAGCTTCACACCACACAACATATATAGAATCAGTTAAACATTTTCCAGATCTGATTCTAATATCATATGTCCAGTTGATCAAGGTTGACCATGCTCATGGAGTTCTTTATAAGCTCTTTCCTCATGTCCACCTAGAAGAGTAGGCAGAGGAATGTGTCAAGACGAAAACTAGGGAAAAAAATTAACGAAGGTCCAAACTAATTAACAATTCCAGCCCTGAAGCAAATTCAGGATTGTACAAGAAAATGTCAGCACTATAATGCAAAAGCAACTTTTTTAAGTGCCGTTAGGACTAGCCCTGCATTTTCATGTTAGATACTGAATGCAAACTAGGACAAAAATCCACGCAAAATGCAACAGATCAAATGGATATTAATTGTCTTGCCAGTAGCTTATTATTGAAACACAAAAAAAAAAAAATTTTTTTGACATTAATCTGCTTACCTGACTACCCATGAGGGACGAGAAAACTACATTTGCTTCTGCTGCATCCTCTACCTTCAACTGTTTTAGCAGCCTTGTCTCTGGATTCATAGTTGTTTCCCACAGTTGCATTGGCATCATCTCTCCCAAGCCTGCAGTTTTTCCCGGGATTATGGCAACAATAAACAGTTGGATTTGGGACACAATTACAAGAACAAAATAGTAGAATGTCTGCTCACAAAAATGAAACATTTGAATGTTCTTTTCGTACGCAGAATCATTTTTTTTTCGGGTGCAGCAAACAAATATCACTATCATTTTCCAGAGGACTAGACAAATGTGGAAATCCAGTGTTTTAAAACAATTAGTGTCCTTGTTTGATCTGGCACAATGAATTACAATTATCTACTTGTTTCTTCAGCAGTTAATATCAAAGACACATGTACAACAAGTTTCAATAGGTTTGCTGAAGATGCTGCTCTTATTGCGGCCTACAGTATGTTTTAGTTCGTCTATATTCTAAATCAACTAAATCTTTCCCTCTATAGTGCAACCCATTTCTTGACATTAGAGCAACAAATCTTTACACTTATCCCATTGACAGCAAAGCTATGCATTATTAAGATATTCTCATGTAATCTTCCTGGGCTCACCATACACTTCCAAAATTAGATTCAGCTTGTACCTTTGAATCTCTGAATGTTGTATGATGCGTTGGCAGGAAATGAACTCTGAAGTTTTTTCAATTCTGAATCATCATAGCAGTAGTATATTTGCTTTCCCCTCTCAACCTGAACATTTTAAAGGAAGGTGAAAATGAAACCTCTATTTACTGAAAATAAGCTCATCAAAAGAATCGTCAGTGAGAAACCTTGTATAGAGGAGGGACACCAACATATATGCAGCCTTCATCAAACAATGCTTTCTGCAAGCAGTCAAAGATTTATTACGATGCCCAAGAATTTGATAAAGATAAACTTTTTACCATCAAACTCAATGCTCATTGTGATGCTTGATCTTTTGAATCCACTACACCATGACAATAGCCTGGACAGTCATGATTGCAATACAGTTCATATCACCTAACCTACCTCGTATCTAAAGAAAAAAGTCAGCAATAATGTTCGAATGTGAGCACCATCGACATCAGCATCTGTTAGAATTATGATTTTATGATATCGAAGAGCCTCCTTTTTGAAATCCTCTCCCTGAAAGATAAACTGTTGATTCAGAAAACACCAAATTTAGGTGGTCATGCAGAAAAGAGATTAAATGTCATATTATCACCTTCACACCAAGTCCTAGGCCAAGAATAAGATTCTGAATTTCTTCATTTTTGTACATTGCTGCTTCATCTTTCCTTTCAATGTTCAATATTTTACCTCTCAAAGGCAGAATGGCCTGCATTTCATTACAAACTACATTTAACACCCAACGTGGTCTCTATCCAACATCAAAGCTGGGTCTTTAAAAAGAAACACCAGAATCAACATGAAACCAAACATAACAACAGGGAGAGAATGCTGTAATCTTTTCTACAAATCACAAAAATATGAGGGTTCCATTTTTTCAACCAAGTTTACCATAGCACTGTAGAAATCTCTATTAGTTCTTCATAAGAATTAGATAATTACATTCATGACATTCTCCCATCCAAATATTCTTTGAGATCACAAGTCCAAATCGTCCTTATATCTGGAATTTCCTAACTTCCAACATTTTGTATTTATATTAGCAGAGAGCAAGTTTGAGCATTCATCATTGCTCCAGTGTGAAGTAAAGTAATTCAACAAATAAAACCTCCGCAGCATTGTCCTCCAAATTGGGACATACAGAACAATCTAATAATCTATATCCTGGATTAGAGGTGTAATACAAGAGCTTTACTTAGTCCTCAGAAAGAGAGGTCCTGTGGGGAACCAGGTTTTGTTATAATAAGGGTGGCAAAAAGACAAAGTAGGTCAGATTCTGGGCGGAGCAAAGAACTGCAGCTATCATTACTTAATTCCACTTAATTTCATCAGTTCAAGAGGAATGAGAAAACGCTCAAGTTCTTTTGAGCATCTGAACATAACGCTCCTGAGCCAATCCACCATGGCTAACGTGCTTCTTCCTCATCAAGTTTGTGGAATATGTGCATACACGACCAAACAAACAGACGAACAAACAAACAAACAAACCAACCAACCTTAGAAAATTTATTCCTAAAAAATAGAGGAAGTTCAGCTCTAAAATGATATATTTCTTCTCTGCTCTCTATACTATTTATTCAAAAAGGTATATTCCAGATTAAAAAGCTGAAATTTTCACCTGAAAGCGCCGATCACGACCTTGTTTTGCACTTCCACCGGCTGAATCTCCCTCAACAATAAAAATCTCTGAAACAAACAAGAAATGCCAATATTTTTCTCATAAAACATGGACATGTATATCAAGGTGACATGCAACTTTAATTTTTTTTAAAACCCCTAGAAATGGAATCCCGAGATATGAAAAGTACATAGAAATCAAAGATGACTTTACACCCATTGCTACTTCATTATCAGAATAGGACATCAAATTTTGCT